AGCACATCTATACATTTGTTGCCCTCATCAGTCCCAAAATTCGCTTGCCTCTTGGGTTCCCGGGAATCAGCTCATTTTCCTTTTTCCCCCCTCCCCCGCTAATGGAATTTTTACATCAAAAATTTGAAGTTCCATCAGATGCCCTAACTGTATGTTGTTTGATTTTGCTTATTTGCTAACTAGTTTCTTATTTTTAAAAATTGTCTGAGAAATGTTAATATCGTAACTTAAATTATAAAACTGATCAGTAGCTCGCCCTTCTTCCAAGCATTATGTTGCAAAGCAATAACTGCAACTGTCCCCTCGCCTAATTTCTATTTCTGTGAGCACTTCACTGCTTGATTTTAACTTCATTCGTTACATAGTCCGACTATTTGTTCTGCCCAGTCATTGTTTGCCCACATAGGACCTGTGTTCACCTTTTTCTCGGGTCAGTGTTCTTTCTTGTATCCTAGACCTTCTTACTGGGATTATTCCCTTTTATCTCCTCCAACATATATCCTTTAGAAATTAATTCAGTAAGTCAGTCAGTTGGGAATAATCTGTCTACCATTTTGGTTAGGAAAATATCTTTATAGAACCCTTGTTCTTTTGGTAGGTTTTTGCTAGATCTAGAATACTGGGTTGGAGAATTTCATTTCTTTCAGTGTTTTTACTCAAAGCTTGTGATGTCTGCCAGCTATCAGTCTGCCTTTTGTTTGCACACATCCCTTGTTTTTTTCTAGATGGCTTTAGGATCCCATTGTCTTTGATGTTCAGCATTTTGACTGTAATGAGTCATGTGTGCATTGGTTTTTATTTATATTGCTTGGGATTTGTTGAGCTTCCTAAATCTGAGCAAGAGTGTCTTTTGCCATTTCTGAAAAGCCCTAAACATTTACCTTGAGCTCTTTTATTCTGTTTAGTCTCTTTTTTGTAATTCAGATTAGATATACGCTAGACCTTCCTCTTACTCTTCCTTCCTTCCGCTTTAATCGCCCTTTTAACGTTTTTTGTCTTTATGCTCCATTATTAGTAGTTCCTTTACCTGTGCCTTTCATTTTACCTGTGCTCTTTTCAACCGTATCTAATAGGATGTTAAACCCATAAATTGAGTTTCTAATTTAAGTATGAGTATACTTTTATTTTTGAGAAGTTGACATTTTATACAATCTGGTTCTATTTTAATAGTTCCAGATTACATTTGTCCTTTTATTATACTTTAAATTCTCTAATTTCTCAATATATTAAACATACTTGCTTGAAACGTTCTATCTAATCCAGCCAATATGTACTTTCTTTGTAGGTATGATGTATAATTTATTTCCTTACACTGACCTTCATTCACGATTACTTATTTCCTTATATATTTAGTGGGTTTGCTTTTATTGTGAGGTCATATTCTTTGATATTGTTTATGTGGAGAGTCTTTGAGATCTGAGTTTAAGGGAAATTTTGTACTAGACTTTTAATTTGTCGATTTTCTGGGTATGTAAGTTCTGGCTCCAGATGAGCATGAGTGAGGATCTTTGCTTGAGAATTATTCAGGGGAAACATTTTTTACGCACTCTATCAGAGCCAGAATCAAATCACTGCTCTTACCTCACTTAGGTTTATTCCTTCCTACTTTTCCCACTCGCGGTTCCCCAGTTGTGATGTGGGAGCCCTGGTGGCACAGTGGTTACATTGTGGTTACATCCCTCAGGAGAGAGAGGGGGCTTTCTGGTCCCATAAAGAGTTGCACTCTCAGAAACCCTCAGGGGCACTTCCACCCTGTCCTATAGGGTTGCAATGAATCAGCAATGACTTGATGGCAGTGAAACCCAAAGCTGTAGGGCACCAGGGGTCAACTTATACGCTTGGAACCAATTAGGCCACACTGCTCTCTAGCTCAGTGGGCTCACCCTGCATTGCTATCGCTTGTCTCCGTGGAATTGCTACTGCTCTACACACTGAGCTGTACACTGGATTAGAGTGTACATCACATATGCATGTGTGACCCCAGAATCTACCCGGGCGCTATAGTGCACGAGTTCCTGACAGTATCTGGCATGCCGTGTTGCAAAATAATAATAGTAATAACAACAACAACAACAAAAATTATAAAAACCCATCAATGAACCCAAATATATTTTACTCTAAGAATCAATCAATTTAGCTTATCTTATAAAATTTTCAGCATACCTGTACATTTCAAGTTTTAAATATTCAATTGGTTAAATGTCTTCTCTCCTTCCCCCAGAATCAGAAGCTATTTGAAGTAAGAGACAGTAAATGATATGGGTAATATTGAATGTTAGTTCTGAAAACAGAAAGTCGGAGTCCCTGTGGTACAACTGAAGGAAGGTGTAAAACATCTCGTGTGTCCTCTTTGTCCAGGAAACCGTTCAAGATTTGAGAAAAAGAATCACGGTGCTTGACTGCCAGTTGCGGAAATCAGAAATGGCTTGTAAAACTTTTGAGGCATCCACTGAAAAACTTCTTCATTTTGTAGAGGTAAAAATTTCTGTTCCCATTATGCTGTTTGTTTGTTTGTTTGTTTTTAAGAAACACAGAGCCCACGACCTTGTAAATATATTCCACTCGTTGGTGACTAACAAAATGTTCTCTGGCTTGAAACAGCAATGGTGACCAACTATGAGAATTAAAATTAGATAGATTAAAATTAGAGAATTAAAATGAGTAAACGAGGTAACTTTAAATAGAGTACTAAAAGAAATCAGTAAGACCAGGTAATATCATCTCACATATTCAGTTTTTGTTTTTAACAATATTAGATTTT